TTTTTTTTTTTTTTTTTTTTTGCTGTTATGTTTTTTCAGATGTTTTTGTTTTGTATATCTCAGTTCTTTCCGGAGTTATTTTGAGTGTGCCTTGAAGGCGTTTGTTACAGTTGAACTGTGATTCTGTGTTTTGCTAGTTTAAAGTCATCTTCTCATAAATGGGAAGATCTTTGCTTGTTTCTTTCTATACACAGCATCATGGAGGGGCCTTGCCACATTTGTAGGTTGTCTTTTCCATGGAATAGAATAGATTTTTTTAAATATTTATTTATTTATTTATTTATTCATTCATTCATTCATTCATTCATTCATTTTGTGTGTGTGTGGCCAGCTCAGCCCACCAGGGGGTGGGGCTGGCTGGCATGTGGTGCTGAGGGATTAAGCCGCGCTCCCTGTGCTTTGCTTTGCTTAGCTTAGCTTGTTTTAAGTAGGTGCTTTAGACCACTGAGCCATCTCACCAGCCCAAATAGATTTTTTGTTTGTTTGTTTGTTTGTTTGTTTGTTTTAAATTTATTTATTTATTTTGTGTGTGTGGCCAGCTCAACCCACCAGGGGGCGGGGCTGGCTGGCATGTGGTGCTGGGGGATTGAACCGTGGTCCCGGTGTTTTGCTTAAGCTTAGCTTGCTCTAAGTGGGTGCTTTAGACCACTGAGCCATCTCACCAGCCACCAAGAACATATTTATTTTATGGGGTTTTTTTGTGTTTTGTTTTTTGAACCAGGGATTGAACTCAGGCCCTCATGCTTGCCAGGGAAGCACTTATTCCACTGAGCCATCTCCCCAGCCCTGTTTGTTTGTTTTTGAAACAGGATTTCACTATACCACTCAGGCTGACCTTAAAATTCAGAATGATCCTCCTTATGGATTTTTCTTTTTATCTTTACAATAAAAAGTTTAATAATTTCTCTGGGACTATAATAAGGCTTCTTGTGTGTGATGTTTTCCTTCTTGGCATTTTACCCTTAGAATTTAATTTAATCTCAGAAATAAATTGGTTTTATTTATTTATTTATTTTTTGTCTTTTTGAGATGGTGTTACAGTTCAGGTTGACCTTGAGCTCACTTTATAGTTGAGGTTGGCCTCAAACTCACATGATCCTACCTCAGTCTCTGTAGTGCTGAGAGCACATGCACATTCCACTACATCCCAGTAGAAGACAAGATTTATTTAAGGAAATGCTTTTCGTTTTTCTGTTTTTGCTCTAAATCTTCATCATTGTATCTTTTCTTTTTTAATGTATTTAGTACGGGGCCTATAGGGTCTCACTACACAGATCGGACTTGTAGTGATCCTTTCTGTTTTTCAGTATCCCAAGTGCTGGCATTACAGGCTTGTGCCACCATGCCCAGTCTCATTCACTGGCTCAGCATGCCCCAGAGGCAGGGATTGCACCCGGTCCCTGTGTCTGCCTAAGCAGGCGCTTTAATCCATTGAGCTATCTGGCCAGCCATGGTCATGGTATCTTTTAATGTTTTACTCTTTGTCATCTTTGTGTCAGGTTACCTGAGTGGTTCAGTTTATATTTTATCAGCAGGACCCATTTTCTGTCCTTAAAATAAGTTTGGTAATGTTCTTTAGAATTCCTGTTATAGGACTGTTACAGCACCTTTTTTTCCCCCATAACTTTATTGAGAAACAAATAGCAATGAGACAGTTTAAAATCAAATTGGTAGGACAGTTTCAATAATTAACACACTGCATACTCTCTTCCTAGTGGTTATTTGCT